GGCACCCCGCAGCTGCGACCTGCAGTTCTTGGGTAATGAATGCAAACAGTTCATGCACTCAGCTTCTACCAGGAAACTTGAGTCTAACCAGAGGTGCCTTGGAAGAGAGACCTGGTGATTTAATTCACAAAAATAACCAGAGAACCACATCTGGGCACACTGAAGCATTTTTAATATGACACAGTAATGATACTTAGCTTTGCTGGATATCACAAAGAGGCAAGAACTGGTTTGAGCAAAAAAGACATTTATAAGTACCTGTTACAAGTCTTATAAGTACTTATTATAAGTACCAGAAGCCCCTGTGTGGGGGGAGGTCAGATGGGCAGGCATTCCCCCACTGAGGACAATCAGTTGCCAGACTGCTGTCTCATCCCACCACAGGGGTGGGCCTGCTCCCTGCCTCTGGGGACAATGGACAGGCTCCTGTAGGAGGAGTTTTCACCCTACTGATAATGTTCCTATGGAGACCCAGAGACCACCACCTAAACCACCCTCTCATTGCTGTGTAACCTATAGTGCAGCCCTCCCTGTGATGTACGTCTCTACCTGTAATTAGTGGGCTGGCATGCCCCCAAAAGGTATATAGGCATGAGTCAGCAATATAGAGCTCTTTGATCTCTCTGACCTCCTTGCTGTTGACTCCCTGGTCACTCCCTTCTCTTCCCCGTCCCTTGTTCCCTTGCCCTCCTTCCCTTCCCTTTCTCCACGTGGACCACCAAGCTGGGCTGAGGTGAGCAATGCTACCATGAAATGTGTCTGACGGCATCATTGTAATATCTCTTTTATCTCTCATGCTCTCGATACTTTAATACTTATATATCTCAACTGTACAACTGTGCATTACTGAACCCAGTAGTAGTATTACTGAACCTGCGATTAGTGGTGGGGGCTGGCCCCACACCTCCTCGTCATTTTAATTTAATACTACACACCTGAAATATGCTTGGTATAGAACTGCAGCCATGCTTAAGGAGAGAAAATCAGGTTGTAACTTGTCTCACACTTCAAATTCCTTCTGCTTTAGCCTCTCTCCATAGACCAAGGTTCTGTTTCTCACACAAAATAAGGTTGAATATGAATCCTCACAGCTACTAAACTAACACATTATGAGGGCAGCTCCACGACAAAATCCATACTGAACTCTCTGGGTTCTAATTTCAAAATATCAGGAAAGAGGATCTAATGGCTGGCTTAGACTAAATGACCAGTGCTCAGCCCACTTGGTTCTGGCTATTGCAAGATGGGAGCCAGAGCTACATCGCCATTGTCCAACACGGTGGACAGGTGGACAATTCGAGAGGCTGCGCAGATAAGAGATAGAACAAATGATAATATTTATCTGTAAGCCAGGCCAGCTGAAAAGGTCAAAAGGTGGAAAGAGCCCCCACCGGGTAATGAGATAGGGTAGCAGGGCTGGGCTGACCCCTTCCTTATGACTTTGATCCAATTTTCTTTTTGGTTCAATTTGGAAAGGTAACCAGCACCCTAAAATTCAAGCATGTTACATTCAGCACACAAGCTTGAATACTGTCTGAACATCTGGGAAAGCTCTTGTTTGTTAACACTGAGACAAGTTAGCAGGGCTGGCCCAACTCAGCTAGAGCCTATGCAAATACTGACGACTGTGCTATACACTGTGGCATGCAGTTTCCTGCTGAAAGGCTCTCTAGACAATCCATCTGAAGCAAACCAGCTACTGCAAATGGTAGCAATCATGGAATATGCACTGTGACACACAGTTTCCTGTTAGAAGAAAAAGATGAGTTGATTGTTTGGGTTGGGTGAGAACTAGGCAGCCACCTTTGGACTAAGCTAAAGCAGGTCCGGGCCCTGCACGTGCTTCCTGCAGCCTGCAACAGATAAGATAACCACCAGAGAAGATAATCAGTGAAACCAGATGTTCTGGGTTCAAAGAAAACCAAGCAATTCTTCCTTTCTCTCTCTCTCTCTGAGTTTCCAGACCCCATATGCTGAATCCCTTAATTGCCATACATTCCTCACCACCCCTTTAAAAACTCTTGCCCCCAGCTGCTGAGCATGACCTCCCTGACCTGTTGGCCTAGGTCACAAAAGCTCGTCCTGGCGCTCCCCCACCCACTAATAAAGCTATTTCTGTTTCTGCTCTCCCCTGTTCCTCAGTTCCGCCTTTACATTTGGTGCCGAAACTCAAGAGAGGTAGGGACGTGCTGTCCCGGCCCTGCTTCAGCTGGGACGAGCCCACCCCTCCTCTCTCCTCGAACCTCCAGATCCTGTCTGAACTAGCGACTTCTGGTCAGTATTTCTCTGTGTACGTTCATTCTGTCTCGTTTGTCATTCTGGCCCCCGAGGACCAGCAAACTCATACGGGAACATAGGGTCTGTGGGAGGCTAACTAGCTAAGAGCCCTGAAAAGGAACCCTAGTACCAAGAGGAGCTGGAAATAACTGCCTTTCCGCAAAAGGGGTGCGAAGACAAGGCCAGTTTCTCGTGTCCATCTTTTCTCTGTGTCTCCTTTCTCTCATGTGGCCTCCAGCCTTTTGTCTCTGTGCTTACCTCCTGGGATTGCTGCTGAGAACAGGGCTCCTAGCACTAGGACCAGCAGTCACTGCACCTTCTGCCTGGACTGGAACGCAGAGGGTGTGTGTCTGAGCCCTTTCTACCTGTTTGTGTGTTTTGGTCCGCGGGCCCCCACAGTGCTTTCTCTAAAATGTTCTGCTTTCCCTTACTTTCACCCTGAACAAAGGCCTAACTAAACTCCATTTTTATCGGCCATAAAGCCAGGCCCCTTCCCCGTCCTCGGCTTCCACTGTGTCTCTCTCTGATTCAAGGTCCCTGTCTGCTGGTTAAAGCCGCAGGCCTGCGCCAGGGAACCTTCCTGTTCCTGAGAGTCCAGGGCTCTCCTACTGGGCCCCTAGCTCTGACCGGGATGCCTCTCAGGGTTCCAGGCCACCTCCTGACAGGCGCGAGCGGGGACCAGGGGACGCCCTTCTCCTCTGTCTGTACCCCCTGCAGTTTGAGACACAACAGGAAGTCTTCTGTCCCAATCTCCTAAGGACAGTCCTTTGGGGTGTCTACTGCCAACCTTACTGAATTGGGTTTGGCTCCTGATATCCACCCTAATGCCTGGTCTTTTTCTGTAACCAAGTTTGGCCTCAATACCAGTTGGACAATGAGTTGCGCTAGCCAGAAAATAGCACTTTCGATTTTAAAGTTCCCCACAACCTCAACAATTGTCAACAAAATCACAAATAATCAGAAGTCCCATATGTTCAGGTCTTTTTCTTTCTTCGCTCCGGTCCCTCTCTACTACCTGTCACCTTGCTCAACATCTCTTAGCCAAACACTCTCTTAATCAGGCCCCGACAGTACTCCCCTTCCGTCTTTCTCCGATCCCATGACTCCTTATCTGCA